ATTGCAGGTTAGCTGTAAAAAACCTATCTATGACCGATAAGTGTGCCGTTTATTGCCACATTGTAAATATTAAGCCATATCCGTTTGACTTCCTGGCTTTCCTGGCAATAAAAAGCATCTTGCTCATATTCTGTGCTTTTAAAACAGAGCACATAAAGACATGAAAAAAGGAAATAGCACCCACAGAAGCTGGCAAATAAAAGATAATAGAAATTATTGTACATCCAACGATAAAAGCCGGCACTATAGATAACTTTTACACCTTTTCCAGAGGCTATCAGCTCAGTCACACACACACACACACACACAGTCTGTAGAGAGGATCTCTCCACGTGTTGGGCTCTGTTGGGTCATGTTTCATCATGACAGACCTTCTCACAACCCTCCACCCCTGTATACTTACCAGATGGCACAAAATGGAGGACCTTTTTGGCTTCCATGTTATCCAGGTTATTTAGGTGAGACGCTCTCCAAAGGTCAACCCATCATCCTTCTCTCTGCCCCCAAATCACCCTGCACTCACCACTGATGTGCTCTCAATGTCTTTCATACACACACCCATACACACACACACTTACACACACATTCTGAAGTGAAACTGCCCCTCCTCCAGCAGCACATTGGTTTAAGGGAGGAAGTGAGAGGGCAGGAAGAGGGAGGCATGTTTCTGTCTGCTGGGTCCTTGTGCCTATGAACTAGTATTTCAGTTTTTGAAATATGTTTATTGTGTTTGATATTTCTGGATATTTTTGTCCTGATTAAACTTTTATAAGAAAGTTTACCAAGTAGCTAACTCTGTAAAATGTGTGCACACCTTACTTAACTCACCCACTGCTGTGATTCATTCAGTGCTTTTGTCTTTGAAGCGTCTTGTGAAACATGATACATGTCATTCTGCTGAGTCACCAGAAGCATGTCCTGTTTGTGAAATCTTTGATATACCTACTGATGGGGTGGGGTGCCAATAAGCATATGTACTAAGTCAAAAAACAAACCATTTTAAATAATAACCTCTTTTTTTTTTCAAATTTGTCGATTAATGTTTGGGTAAGTAAGTCAAATGCAAATATGCGTTATTTTTATTTTGGTAATTTTGTGTTGTTCATTCATTGTAACCCTCTTTAAATAACTTTGCAGTGAGAAAAGACAGGCAGTCAACATTCATGAAGAAAATCTTAACAAAAGTTCATCTTTACTTCTTTTGATATGTTTAAAATATCCATGTGGAGATTTTTATTGGATTATAACGTTTTTAAATTGCTATTTTGACAACATGTTTCTGTTTATAAGAAAAAGTTATTAATCTCTGCCCCATCAAAACATTTTGTTGTAAACATACAAAACTATGTACCATTTACCAAAATGATTTTGTGTATTTTAGGCCTAAATAAATAAAAAATAACATGTTAAGTAAACTCTGCCTTGACAAAAATGTACAGAGCAGCTTTTTGGAATAATTTAAACATTTTTACAGAGTTCTCCTTTCTGGCCTATGTCTGTAATGTAATGTCATTGCTGCATTTCTTGGCACGTTACTGCCACCTATTGTCAATCAGGAGAATTGCATCAAACCACCCTTTGAAAAGAATACGAAATGTGAGACCCATCCTTAAAACCAGTTCCAAATCCCTTTCAGTTGGCAAAACTCACAGAATCACTTTAACAACAAATATTACTAATACTAATAGGTTTTCACAGAAGGCATCAGGGAGTATTTGAGACCAGATACCAATAAAGCAAACACAAACATACCTGGTCAAAGTAGTACAATATAAATAAAACATATATTGTTTCAAGGCTCATGACACACTAGCTGTTTCACTAGTATCAAACCACTGCACCTGCTGCTCGGAAAAATTGAAAGAGAAATAAAATGACTCCACTGGTGGTCACCACCTAAGAAGAGGAACATTACCTTGTATCTTTATAACGTAAAGGATGCATTTCTTCTCACAGTATTTGGCACTTTCCTCAGCAGAAATCAAACGACACATCATGACAAATTGTTATTGTGTTAGATGGGTATATCAGATATGTGTTGTTTTGATTCCATGGTTTGAATATATTTTAACATACTGTAATTTGTTGCAGCCTGTTTGTCTCGTCATTATCTATAAATCCTGATTCAGACTTACTCAGAAACCATTTAGCTATTCATTGACTAGCTGTAACTTCCTGAATTGTTCTTCACTCATTCATTCGTTCAAATGTTACTTTCATGAAAATTGTTTTGACCAATTTGTTTTCTACTTATTTCTATGTACTTGCCTATTGTTGGAGGATTAATGTATGTGATTTCCTCTGACAATTTGGGAGAGTAATTTAGTTGCCAATGTTGAAAGATATTATAACTGGCATAAACGGGAACAAAGAGACAACCTCTACGAGAGAAGATTACTTTCTAAAGGAAATCATGTAGTATTCAAAACAAATAGTCTTTGTATAAGGTGATAATATTTCCTTGTGGATTCCTTGTATTTAATTACTAATAGTGAAATATAATTACTGACATTATGTCTGCTTGTTATTTATGATAGAAGTTACAAGTTAAAACCTTACAAGCTCTTTCTTTTGGAGAAACTTAGGGGCTCAGTAAAATTGTATTTTTTCAAACGGACTGGTTGATTTTGGATTGGTTGGTGGATGCAAAATAATAAACTATGCCCCCAAGTAGAAAAAGTAAGCTGGCAATCTATATATAGTGGCCAGAGGCAAGACAAAGGTAACCAAAGAAGGACATGACTCTTTCCTCCACTGCCATGAGAGGGCAGCACAGTCTTTTGTTAATTTCAGCCAGAATCTGACTCAGATAATTTAAGGATACAATCAAAAGAGTTTTCATTTAGGAGAAACAGCTATTCTTGGTGAAAAAGGCCAGCTAAAAACAATGAATAGATGTTCCTATCAGTGTAGTGCATCTGGTTTGAAAACGCAAGCTGCAGTTTTTCTATTTGCATCTACCAGTTTGATGAATGTTTGCTTTAAAATGTATCAAGATGTGCAATCATTGGCATGGTTGTTATTTCCATTGGTCTCTCTTCTGAAACATGGTCTTAGCTGTAGCCGTTTGCCGGTGTGAATTTTCAGACAAATTAACAGCTCAATTGTTGGTGTGAATGCATGATGATGGCCGCCCTCCCTGATAGCTCATCTGACTCTTTAGTCTTTGCAGCAGCAGGGGTTCAAATCTCACCCACAACTCATTGCTGCATGATGCCCCCTCCCGCTCTTCCTTTCCTGTCTATCTCCTGCAAACAAATCAATAGAGACCAAACAAAAAGTCTAAAAAGTGCATTTGGCACTGTTTTTGTTTCCCTGTGTTTCATCACGTTCTTCTTGTGTGAAATAGTTTTGCAACTGTATTTCTTTGTGAAACCCTGTGTTGCATAATGATAATAAACTATCTGTAAACCGGAGCACGTCAACCTTTATCTCGAAATGTAGGCCTCAGCTGCTGTATCACGAGTTGTGGTGAAACGGCCTTAAGTATGTGTGCACATGTTATATTATATGATAAAAAGGTATATTTGATAATGTAGTATTGCTGTTATCTGTCTTTGACCCCCAAACAAAGACACATGTAGGTCTCATGTCCTGGTTTAGGCCCTGATTCCAAAATGACTGCATGAGACCACAATCGTATAGTTTGTGTTATTATTTATTTGTCCTTCTAACAAGACATGCACAGATTGAACCTTCATATTGTAGAGCTTGGTCATTGCTTATTACTCTATATCAAATCCATGCAGAAATAGACTGACACATGACCTCATATAACCCCTACATTTCCTTTACAGCCAGACATGTACGTGCAGTATGCATTGTGGACTTTCATCACTGACACAGCAAAGAGTCAAACAGTGAATATGACATCACTAACAAACAGGCCAGGAAAGCAAGAAAATGCTGCATTACTAAACTAATGTTGTGTGGTCAGCGAGTTCATTGCAAGTGCACCGCTAGTTTGGTTTAGTCTACGTGTGAAACATGAATCAAGCTGCAGGAGCATCAGGAGCTCAACACATCACACACAGGCATGATATTAACATTGTTGTCTATCGAAGCAACAAAGCATATTCCCTGGATGTCTATTCAATCTAATGTGCATGATCAAAGTTTCATGATTCAGTAATGGATGACATATAAGAGCTACTGGATGAATCTGTTGACAATATGTTACTGACTTAGAGCTTTAAATGTCTAACAGAGTGCACAGCAGCTTACAACGTTCATTTTTGTGGTCAAACATTAAATATGTGTAGCCCATGTGATTGTGCAGATAGACTGTGAGCTAGGACACATTTACCACAAACTGCCTCCAATAAAAACATAAACTGTAATAAAACTTAAGAGACTGTCTCAAAATGTTTTTCCGTGTTTATTCTAAATCGATGAGATTGATCAATTTGACACGAGTCACTCTGTTATGCATTTTTAAGACAAAAATAAACACATGTAACTCAAGACCGTAAAGTTCAATACACAACAAAGCAGATATGAAGCAGTGGGACCTGAAGTCCAACATAAACACTTTTTTGTGTCGATTGTGTTCATCTCTCAATGAATAAATCATATTTAAATGGATTTGCTGCTCATTATATTCACACTGTGACCTTTGTCCATAAAGGTCATCGCTTAGCAACCAACCGTGTTTACTGCATATCATCCTGAACGAGCACAATGGAAAATGCATGCAAATAAATGCACATTCTAGATAAGAGGGGCATATTTTCATCAAACATGTATCACTTTTTATTTACCAGAAATAATATCTGAATCAAATTCTATTGTGAAAATACAATGATAAAAAGTGGCATAGTTCATTCTGAGTAAAAGATCACAGACCAGTGCACAATAATTGACTAGAATTTTATGTGTGAAAACAAGCCAAACTTTTCCTGGAAAGGTTAAGTCCTCCTGTCTTTTACTCAGCGCACAAAGCCATGAACATGCACATTGTTTCCTCGTGCCTGAATATGATCTAAATTCATGACGCTTACCTTCAGAAAAGTGAGTCACAGTGACTCCGGACATCTCCTCTACCTCCTTTTGGTTCTTCATAAACCGGAGAGGCTTGCAGTGCAGCCAAAAGTCAGGGATATTTTGGAAACGGCGTTAAAATGACTTTACAAAGCAGGGATTGGAAAATGTGTTTCCTGTGTGAGAGTTGCTGCATGAGTGGTCACGCAGGCAGGCCCTCAGGTAGATGGGAATGGTTCACAACCAATAAATAACACATTAATGTCCTCCCTGCCAATCACAGTGAAGCTGACTTTATGTGCTCAAGGTAATGTGGAAGGTGGAGAAAGAGGAAACAAAGAAAAGGTGGGGGACAAGAGATGGGGGAAGAAAGGTGTTAGGAAACTACAGCTGGGACTCTTTGATATTTGAATGCAGTTGTCCTGTGAGACGTTCACCACTTCATTGTTATGCTAAACAACCCTAGTGTTCACCTGGATGAGTCATTGCCGCATTCATGTGATTCAAAAGGCTCCACCCAAGGATCTCAAAGCCATTCGTTTCCTCTTTAACAGATTTTTTTTTTTTATATATATATATATATTAAGAAGCTCTGAGACACAGTGTCAAAAATCTATATTGATTCTGACTCTTCTACATCCAACTCACAGGTTTATCATTGCTTTGAGTAAAAAGATTATTAATGTTCCCCTTTTAGAAGTGTAGTTATGGTCATTTGTTCTGGGAATGTCATTTTCAAGCCTGAGACCTGGAAAACAGGCTCGGGGCTTAACAGGTTAAAGGCAACAATGTCTGTTCACAACCACCAAAAAGGGTTTTGCAAATATACAATTAGCACATACTCATTATAGAATGCTGCGGTGCCACATGTTGCACAAGCTGTCCTCGTGAGGTCATTCAAGCAAGAGAAGAATGTGAAACATGTTTGTAGTTTATATATGTGTTGTCTGACACCCAGAGCAGAGAGAATGCAAGTTTAATGCACTTTGAAGTTTGACTCAAACTCACACAAATGCTGCCCTTAAACACACTCCATTTAAACTGAGCAGACACTCAATAAAACGTACCAAAACCATGTTTGTTTGTTTTTCCACAACAGTCACCAACTCCGGTTTGTGAGTTTAAAGAGGGATTAAATATGTAACAGATAAAAAAGAAAGTAAAGTGTCCTCTTGAATATGTTAGTGGCTTTACAAGCAGCCGTCTTCTGTTAGCTAAAAGCTGATTTCCGGTTCTGGTAAACACACACGTTTAAAAAAACAGAAAGGCATATCTACAGGAAAAATAAAGTCTATTGCCCTATTTAAGAGAGTTTTCCTCAATTTAAAAACCTCTATATATACACACACACTCATTTGGTCAGTAAAGGGTATAAACACAGGCGGTGGGCCATGAAAGATGCAAAAGCAAAAGCTCAAATGAAAAAGCAACAGACCCTGCACGCCTTTAATAAAAGAGCGTATTTTATTTCACATGAATGTGGTTATCTTTACAGGGGTAATATAACACAGGCTCACTTACAACGAGACTGGAAACATTTGAAAAGATCAGTGTTTAATGTAGAATACATCAATTTAGGTGATATGATGACATAATGTTCGCAGGAATGCACGTCAATCTTCTACCTTCACATGTAAAACATTGCATCCCTCAGAGTGAAAGTATTCCTGTTGGGCAATATCTTGTTTCCACTCAACTCAAATCCCTCTCCTACCAAAGAGGGAGGTCTAAAGAGTTATTTCAGATGATAAATCAGTTCAATTATCCCAATCAACCCAATTTTCACTTGTGTCTATTTTTCTTTCTCTTCCCTCGCAGAGTGGGAACCAAGGTGTCTTTGAGTGCCATTTGTAAATTCAACTTACTAATTGAATGTAAAGATTACTCAAATACCACCTGGGTAATTATTTCATAACAAGTGCTCAAATTGCTCTACAGCTGTTCATTTTCCTGTCTATATTACAATATCCAACCTGATTTGAAGCAAACAGCAACACCAAACACATGGATAAAGCGAGGAGACCTTTATTTTTTGCTTATCACCTAAGGGTGTGTTTGAAAACAACAGACACCTCAGACAGAAGCAACGGATACTTCTTAAAAAAAAAAAAGACTCACAAACATTCATATCCTCTGTTCAGCAGGCATTAGCCAAACACACACCAGAGTTAGATGCTTCAGAAATTGATATGTAGCAGAGGAGGCTAATAAATGTACGACCTTAGATGAAAGAAAGCCAATTAATTCCCCTTAACCCTGAATTGTTACAAAAGCAGCAGGAGAATACAAACTATAGGTCAGCTTTACAAACACTTTAGTGCTTTAAATTGTCACTGAAACGTGAAACAAACACTATTTATGCCCTGGAAGAGACCTTAAGCAAACATGAAAGCCGTTGAATAACCAGATTAAAAGTCTACAGCTGTGCTTGCTGCTCTGAGGCTATACTTATCTAAATGCTAATAGAAGAACATGTAGTGTGTTGTTGCAGGTATAATGTTTACAAGGTTTGATGCTAACCTTTGCTAGTGTAGCACAAAAGAGCTTCTAAAGATGTGAATATCTTCAGTTTCAGGTATTTTGTCACAGACCAGGTCTTTTTATAATTAACGTTATTGACGTGATGATGGCAATTAAAGAAAAGGTAAATAATTACCAAAGTAAAAGCAGTACATCCTGATAGCCTCATGAGCATCTGTAATATAATCCATCCAACAGTTGCCAAGACTTATGGCTGAAAACAGAAATATAACCATTATGGAGCGACCAAAGTCAATAGTATTCAGCCTTTATCATGAATATTTCTACAAAATGAGATATTTTCTATGGACCAAAAGGCCATGTCACTAACCTGTCTAAAAAGCCGAAAGGGAAGTCTAAAGGTACATGTCTAATTATGCATGATTGTGAGAATATGCACACACATTTACTTATGCATGATTATAACATTCACCTGTGCACAATTTAACTGTGGTTTTATTCTTATAACACGAAGGAAAGGCTGAAAACAATAACAAGACATTTCAATTCAAATGTTCTGAGTAATTCATTAATGAATCTCATTCCTCAGAAAATGTGCTTCTTGTTAGTTTCTTTAGTTATTTCATTATATATCTCCAATTTAGCATCATTTGAAACTCACTATCTTGTACATTGAGAGTATTGTACATCACATATGGTTAAGAATATAAATTGTAGATCTCATGATGTATCTTGAATTGACTACCCCAATAATTGATTTGACATATACTCATGCATTATACTGTATGTTTCTCATATTAAACATACATCTCAAATTTGACCAGACAACCATGCATGCATAATCAATAGGACATATATTAATTTGATCTATCTGTAGGTTTTAAATCTTCTTGCATCTCACGGATTGGCCTGTCACATGCCTGATTATATAATAAATTGCCAATGGTCTCTTCCAAGTCTTAGTTCAGGATTATGTCATTATAGTTCACTGTGAGTGTACTACTGCAACCTTTGTAATATGTTGTGATACAGATGACTAAATCTCTCTTTGCAAGGTCACAAAACACGTTATTAAATTATTTGTTTTTCAGAATGTAATCTAAGTGGCTACCGCTGCAGTTCAAGGAAGTAATCAGCCGAGTGTGCAATAAGTAAATGTGTTCTAGAGGGATATTTTTTGCAATACCAAGATCAATAGTTTAACCCTAACCAGTGAAATCTACATACATCAATGTGTATTACAATTATTCTGTGTTTCAGTATTTCACAACTTTTTAAAGAATATCTTTGATTATGTTGACAAGCTACAGTAAACCATTAGTACATCTGTTTCTCATTGTTTCAGATTATGTATTGATTTATTAATGTGCAAGCTGTTTCCCTCAACCCAAGGTATCATACATCAGCATTATTATTGCATTAAGCATCAGAGGGAGTTTTCTTCTCTGTTACCTTGTGATTGGTTGTGCCAAGCTTTCTTTAGTTCATGTTTACGGAAATTGTGTGGCTCTTACTACATATCTGAAAGGGAGTTTGATACTCAATGTGCTGTCAATAAACAAAAACTAAAAAACAACGTTCACCTATGTTCAACTTGAGAACAGAAGAAATCATATTTGTACATTTAAAACTAAAGGCATGATTACTTCAGGTATGTGCCCTAAGTATGTAGGTGGTAGTAATTATTTTCTCTATTATGTTTTTGAAAAAAATAGCACTATCATATAAAAAGTAAAACACATGATTTACAACAGAAGAAAAATACTTACAACTAATTAGAAGCATAACAAGTCTTTACCTTTAAACTAATTGTTTAAAAAGCTAAGTGGGTTCTAATATTATATCAAAACATGTTTTCTATTTTGTGCTATGTAATCACAATTACATATGTGTTGTTATTGCTCACTCAGTTCATTAGTTTTAGCCTTAAAGATTATTGCTTTTTAGCTTCCGGCCACCAGTGGCAGCACTGAGAGCAACATGTCAATTGGGTAATCAGAGAAGAAATCAGGCTATGCGCCATCTTGGTTTTTAAACAGGTTGTATCTGACATAGATGGTATCTGACGTTTAATGGGATTTACCTGCTCACAAGTTAGACAGGCCGTGTTTGTGTTACTTTGCAAATGACATCGACGTGAATCATGATGAATTGTTGCAGACAGAGTTCAGCTGTCCTTTTGTGGATTTGTATTTTTTATTTTGGCCCGATAAGCAACTTTTATTAGCATGATTATATGTCATGGCTGCACCTCACCTTACTCCAGGATCGTGATAAGCAGTAATATGATGCACATCATGTAGCATTTTTATGAACATATGGTCTTCAATCTGCGGACAATTTAGACACTACGTGACATTTTGAATGAGGATCATAATCCATCACTTTGTGTGTTGTCACTGCTGTAAATAAAGACCAACTACAAAGACAACTTTAACGACTTCATTGATCTGTTTGCACAACGTCGAGAAAATGCTCATCTAAAGGTAAGCGATGCATTTTATATCAAATGTGCAGTGTGATACAGTTTGCTGCTTAGAGGTTTGCTCGTGTGGTTTGTTTGGCTTGTTGCACAGTAGCTGTTTGCTATTTCTGCCATACTCTGTGTAACTTCTTGATGTCCTATACACTTGTTGTGTAGGAATTTATGTTACTGTTCCTTGAGAGACTGAGAGCTGTGTTTGGGTGCATTTATTTAAGTATTGTTTTT